GGTGATGTTCATCTCTGTTTCCTAGCCAAGGGAGCCAGCATTGTCTGAAGACATTTCTGCGGTTATGTGGCCAGCAGGACTATATGTCAAGGCGCATGAAAAGCTGTTACCTTCCCACTGAATTGGTATCTATTAATCTATTTGCATTTGTATGCTTTTAAACTGTTAGGTGGGCCGGAGCTGGGGCAAGTAATAGGAACTCACCCAATCAGGCAGCAGGCTGTCAGCTTTCCAATGCCTTTAACTACTGAGCCATTTTGCCCCCTCCCCAAATTGTAATTTTCAATCAGAACAAGAGAAAATTTATTAAATATAGCAGGCATAATCATATGAAGATAATGCATGGATTAAACATGAACAAAACTAAATTATACATTGCTTTTGTCTTGATCCCATCCACTTATTTCTTGACAGTCTCTGAAAAAAAAAATCTGTATGTCCCTGGTATAAAATCTTATATAATGTTGAAACATTTATTTCTAGAGTCAGTTTATATTCTGCATCCAATTGTTAAAAGGGTTTCCTTTTCACATGCCCTTCGGTCTGAGTCCTGCTGGCAAAACTTCCAAAATATAGTATTGAATTTACAATATTATTCCATGGTTCCACATAATGGAGAGAACAGTCTTTCACTGTCCATGATAAATTTTGATGCCATTATTCATATTTTATGTGCATTCAATTTCCGTGTTGGCTTTTCATATACAATTTTGTCTTCCTCTCTGAATCCAAGTTTCTTTAGATAAGACAATTGACAAAGAAACCCATACATGAAGTAGAGTTTGTTAAATGAAACTGCAAACTTCCTGTGGAACCATATCTTCATTTTGTATCTGGGGTTTCTCATAAAAAATGAGAGTCATATGATACCCAACTCCCATGTGTCTGTGTCATTTGTGACACCCAAAAGACACATGTTATTTTGAAAGTCTTAAAAGCATTTCCAGGGAACTTACATGATTAACAGTCCAGAACAAAAAAATGCTAAGAATAGTGGACAATGCCATATCAAAAAGCCAATTAGTATGTGAGCAATGGTTTCAACTGCCTCTTTTTGACTCATGCAGTATACAGGTCCTCAATGGAAGGCAGGTTGGCAGTAATTGTTTTTTTTCTGCGGTTGTAATTATCCTCTAAAGTCTGTGTCTGTCTTGTTGGGTTGCAGAACCAAACCAGCTTTAGAGGTGCAGCTGACAGACTCAATCATTCCTCCGTAGAACCGTATCAGCAGCTCCTTGGGCACTTTGAGCCTCCTGAGTTGGTTCAGAAAGAACATTCTTTGTTGTGCTTTTGTGATTATGTTATGGATGTTAGGTGTCCGTTTTAAGCCTTGGGATATTTGAAGGTCTCAACTGTTGATACTGTGTTGTCTAGTGTTTTAAGAGGTTGCAGTATGGGAGAGTTTCCCTTAAAGTCTACCACTATTTCAAACAGTTTTGAGTGTGTTTAGTTCCAGATTGTTCCGGTCACACCACAAGGCTAGTTGTTCAACCTCCTGTCTGTATGCGGTTTTATCATTGTCTCCAATGATACCAATCCCTGTTGTATCATCTGCAAACTTCATGAGTTTAACACAATTGCTGGCTATGGATGCCATTTTTCACATTTTGAGACAGTCCAGTGAAGAAGCGCCAGCAATGAGTACTAACACTACCATTATTGTAAGGTTACAATAACAGAATTGTAAGTCTGAAAGAACCCCTTATTTTTACTCTTCTGAGAACAAAGGAGGGTTTATTCTGAGACGCTTCCTCTAACAGATTGTGATGGGGCTGTGGTTTTTCCTCCTGTCTTTTCAGATAATTCCTACTTACAATTACAACTCTAAACATCCAGAAACAATGATAAAACCCATGGGGAAAAAATCAAACTAGATACTGTGTTGAAGGCAATCCAAGCATCACTAAGAGATGCATAGAGAGACAGACTGGTTCTATGCATATACTTTTCTGCCAAGTATCACAGAACCACTGCATGGCCTAATGTTAATCAACCTAAATCCTAAATCCAATTTCATCATTCATCAAGGTGAATTCAGTTTGGGCCAGGCAATTAATCTGAATTATAGAAGTTTAGCATACATTTTGTTAATTTGACTTAACACATCGATTTAAGTGCAAGTAATCAGGAGCCTTCCTCTGATCTTGGTCAGAATTATTACAGCCAACTCCCAATCCTTTGAAATCTGGATCAAGTGCTCTATTGAGGCAAAGTGGGAAAGTAGAACTGGGGCCCGCAAATCCAAATTACCCTTCGTTAATAATCACTGGGGAATTTTTCTGCTTTAGACTGCTTAATTGTATCTTTAAATTCTAGATCCATGGAGGTTTGTTTGTTTTTATTCGATCAGATCTGATTCTTGGACACTGTCTGTATATGTCCCCAAGGGCTGTTTTTTTTGTAAGCCTTTTCAGAAGTGATTAGCCATTGTCTCCTTCCTAGGCCAGTGGTTCCCAAACTTGGCAACTTTAAGACTTGTGGACTTCAACTCCCAAAATTCTCCAGCCAGCTGGCTGGAGAATTCTGGGAGTTGAAGTCCACAAGTCTTAAAGTTGCCAAGTTTGAAGACCTCTAGTCTAAGTGGAGAGATTGCAGAGGAAGGGATTGCAAGAGAGTAAGTTATGCTGGCTGGAGAATTCTGGGAGTTCAAGTCCACAAGTCTTAAAGTTGCCAAGTTTGGGAACCACTGGCCTAGGCTGAGAGAGAGTTACTGGCCTTAGATCAGCCTCTGGTGTAGTGCATTCCTGGTTTCTAGTCTTATGTCTTAACCACTATACCAAACAGGCACCAAGAAGGTTAATTCCACATCAGAGGTCTCCTTCTGTGCATATAAAACAGGAAAAAAAGTGATTTTTCTGATATCAGTAGCTATGTGGGAGAAAGTACCGAAGTTATTATTTGAAAAATGCAGGGATACCAGTTTTCCTAAAATAGCAAGCTACTTTGCATAAACTTCAAAGTTGTCAAGCACTGTTTCACGGGCTCCCGATGTCTTGATTATTCTTCTTTACAAAGACTCATCAGCAACCCTTGGGTTCATTCTTATCTGAACTTGTTTAGCAGAGGAAGCTATTCCCAAGGGCTTTGCTGGTTCATCCTCTTAACGGCTCTTCACAACTGTTTTGCATTCAAAATACCGATGGCGTCAAAAAACGAAGAGAGCTGGGCCGTCCAAAATGAATCCTTTGGAAATATGGAGAGAACACGCTTCATAGGGCCTCATTCTGAACAACAGACTTGCAAAGGGAGGTCTCTTAATTTTACTTAGCAGCAAAATTCACCACAGCCCAGTTGTGTAATGATGACAGTAAATAATTGATTCAAGGAGGATGGGCCACTTCTTTTGAATCCCACAGATGTTCTGAAAGGGGGGGATGGGATGTTTTGAACGTTGAGCGCTATCTGCAAGTACATCTGGTTAAGTCTGAAGATTGCAGTGATTGTTTCTAGTTCTCAGCCTGTTGTGACTTTTCTTTTTGCTGTCACACATTCAAAAATGGAAAGTACAGCCTGTGCAGTCAATAAACATTGTGTGATATTATTATTTGCAAAAGTCTCTTTCTGGCAACTGCTGGTGGTAAACAGCGCAGATGAATGGGCAACAGCTGCTCCAGAAGAAGGAGCCACAGGTGGTCCTCAACTTATGACTACAACTGAGCCCAAATTTTCNAGAAAGAAAGAAAGAAAGAAAGAAAGAAATCATGAAATCTCCCTAGAGGGTTATACTAACCAAAAGCTGGGGAAATAACCAGGTTTGCAATCTAAAGGTGGGAACCATTTGGATCTGTAATGGGAGGGGAGGAAATTCCAGAGGGCAGGTGCTATGACTAATCACTTCTTTCATCCTGGCAGATGCTACTGTTTGGTTGCAGAGGACATTCATAATCCTGCAGATCAGGCAGGAACAGGAGCCCCCGCAGAGTGACAATGAATAGCTTACCAATCATCTCCATTCACAGGGCTTTGATGGAAAGATGTTGAAATAATTTACTATAGGGCTACTTTTATCATTTGACACTCACTAACCCAGAAGTAGAAATATGAAAAGAGGTTCAGCAGAGTCTGTGGGGTTTGAGCAATTGTTGAATGCTCAAGTTTGCCTCCATTTCAGCCACTTGAAGATGACCCATATGCAGAGTTTTAAGCATTTTTTAAAAGTTCGTCATAACTTTTCTGAAATGTTTCATGTTCTTTCCTTAGGTACCCATATGTGAGAAAATACTAAGATTGGTTGAGTGGGTGGCGGGACAAATAATTTCCGTCTTAAGAGTCAAAGAGTTTTCTTTCACACACATTAAAAAAAACCCATGGTGCTGTTGAACTGGCATTCTCCTGCTGCTTTAGCTAAGACCACAAAAACACCTTGGGAAACCACTGTGGCTTTAAGCTAAAAAGGCTTCTCTAGTGTGTGCACATATATACACTCACACATACACAAACAGACATAAAAAGTATCCTGTGCTCATTCATAAGAACACTAAAAGTTTGATCCCTTAAAAAAAACTCCAAATACTCTCTAAAAATGCAGGTGTATTCTTTTAAGAAATGAAAATACTGATTTTTAAAAAAAAACTGCTTAAAACAAAGTTTTCTGTACAGACTCCGACTAGTATGACATTTATTCAAATATTAATTCCTTCATTCTGTTCTATCCCTCTTCTCTATCGTCTCTCCCATTAAACAAAGATACATTTTGTTAATTACTGACTTTAGCTTGATTTATCAAAATGGATGATTATCAGTTTTATTTGATTTACTGAGCATAAACCCAAATTCCTTGCTTTCAATTGATCATCCAGAATTTATGACCCAAAACTGATGTTCTTCGGATTTTGGATTCACAATTTGGATTCCTGCCTTGAAATAAACAGGAAGCCTACTTTTGCCAAATTGGGGTCCAAAATCCAGTAATGAAACCTGAGTTGAAGAAACTTTTCTTAAGTATGTTTTTGCTTAAAATAAAATAAATATTTCTTTTAAAAAAGGGGAGATACACTTACAAAGCCTTTGTCTTCTTTCGGTGATTTTTGCTGCCTGCATTCTCATGTGTCTTGATTTCATCTGAAGCGGTGTGCCACATAAACAGCCAAGGCATTTTTAGTTGTCTCGTTTTAGGTTGCAATGCTTCTGCAGTCGTAACATCTAAAGATCTAACCTCTTGCAAAGCTGATGGCTTTATACACTGACTCATATCACCTGCTTTGTGAGAAAGAAGCGTCTTTCGCACAAGCAGAGACACTTCCTCTTTTTTAACCGCCTGATGACATAAGTAGACTTTGGGACTTTTTTAAAAAAATAAAATAAAGTACAACTATTGGTTGCTGTTAAACTGGCTAGGACAGGTCACAGAAGCTAAACTTTTCTTTTAAAAAAATCTTTCTTACAAGAATTCTCCACCTATTTACAATCAAAGATCAAAACTGTCATATAGTCGTTTATTATGAGTGCCACTAATTCACATATCAATAAAAAGCTGGTTAATAAGTTAAATAATTGGGAAAAAAAAACCCTTCTCACTCTTATGGGTGGTATTCCTCAGTCTTGGGTTCTGCATCAGAGACCTGGGAATTTTTAGGGTTCTGCTCCTAGCAAAGCAGCCTTCTGCACAGAGAGCTTTGATGTTGTTCCTGGGATCCATAGATTCACTCTCCCAGCTAAGGAGTCACAGCCTCAGGTCAGGGGTGGGCTCCAGATTCTTTTCCTGCCAGTTTGCTCAGGGATGTGCTTCGGGCACGTGTGATTGATGTGTCCTTGGTGTGTGCTTAGTCCACACTTGGTGCACACATGCATGCATGCGCAATAGTTAAAAAATTGCTTCTGCACATGTGCAGAAGCAAAAAAACAAGATGGCACTGCCACAGGCACTGCCAATAGAACCGGTTCGGATGTATGGGTGGCTGAGTTACTACGTACTCGGCCGAACTGGTCCAAACCCATAGGAACCCATCTCTGCCTCAGGTGTTCCTCCCCTTGGACCACTTTTGCCTTTACTTTCCACATCAACAGTAGACCTAATAAGAGTGAGATGGGCAGCATAAACCTTAACGACTAACTAAATGTTATTGATGAACTAAATTTATTTAAAAGTCTGTAGAGATTCTCAGTCATCCAAGTCATGGTTGTCCCAAAGGTGATTTTTCAGGAGGCAACTGGACTCTCTTCTTCTTTTTCTTTTGAAGACATTTCGCTTCTCATCCAAGAAGCTTCTTCAGCACTGAGAGGATTCCATTCTCCACTATCCTGTCAGAGCTGAAGAAGCTTCTTGGATGAGAAGCAAAACATCTTCAAAATGAAAGAAAAACCAAGAAAGTCCACTTGCCTCTTGAAAAATCACCTTTGGGATAATTTTTTAAAACTTCTTCAGATAATTTTTCAACAGAATTAATAATTATGAGTTAATACCAGTGTTAGGCCTATGTCCTCTTTATAGTAATTGCTTCTGAATAAAACCTTACCACCTTTTTCAAAATGTTCAAGAGAAAAGTCCACTAATGGGAAATATACAGTACTTTTCCTTTTCCGTAAATAATTGGAATACTCTGGAATTTGATTTCGACAATGTCTTGCACAATATATGCATCGGAGTAATAGCAGAACTTAGCTGTCCTTAGTTGACCTCAACACTTCTATTTATTTATTTATTTTTCACATTTCTGAACCAACACCCATCTCCCTCAGAGAGGGACTCCCCCAAAATGCTAAGGTTGGACTTATATCAATGGGAAATCTCTAGATTCTTGACTAGATGGGGAAGTCAAAAAAGATTCCACGTCAAATGAACAAAAACCACTTCCATACTGTTGCCCAAAACCACTTCCATGCTACATAACATGGCCATCTTCTTTATCTTTATCTTTTAAGAAACAGAAATGATTTTTTTTCCATATCTGGGTATTCAGATTACTATTTTGGTTGGTTGAAGTGAAGAGAGGTAGAAAAAGATCTCCAAGTGGGTGGGATAAATATTTCTTTTGAAATATTTTCTTTTCTTTTCATAACACACACTCACATGTATACTATACATAGCCCATATCATATAGTATTAAATAATAATTACATCAGTTCCTCTTGTCAACAATGCCCTCCAAAATAGAAAGCCATTATAGCTCTTCTGTTCTCCATACACCTCTTTCTTCTACCACCCTCCAACTTTCTATCTTCCTTCCATCATCCCCCTCTACTCTCCTTCCCCTCCCTCTCTACCCCTCCTCTCTCCA